ATTTTAGGTCTCTACGTCCATCCCATGGGGAATGGGAGCAGTAACAAAGGTGTTGCGTTTATATTTTTGTTGAGTGTATATTTTGTATTTTTCCAGTCTTTGCTGACTGTGCACAAGGCTTTATCTGTTGCCTTTGTAACAGTTTATTACATCCTTGAACATTAAGTTAAAGATGGTCACCCTCATTTAGCAGTTCAAACAATATGTTTAAAACCTGCTTTTTCAGCTTTAGGAATATTGGTAATGGGTGGCCCCAGTAATAACATATCTTATAAAGTACCTGTCATTCTCGAGGAGAACCGATCTAATTGTTTGATGGTGTATTATTTGTTTTTATTGCATACATTAAAAAAAATCAAACAAGCTGTTTATTTATTTAAAAAAATCAAGCCCAAATTGTTCTCCAAATGTAGAATGACATAGAAATTAAATATTAAACATATATAAACACTCATGCTGTTATCAGAGACAGACAGCCCTGAATATAACCTGTTACAATTCAGGAACAGCAGATTTGCAGATGGGAAAATACTTTAAAGCGTTATTTTGGATAAAAAAAAATCAACAAACCCTTGAGCTATTTCCATCAGATTCGACTGATAAGTTATTTTAGACAATGCCTGTCATTAACAGCCCAGATAAGTGCCAGGAGGTATTTGTAAATGGTTTGTCCTAGGCGTTTTTAAACTTCTGTGTTGGTTCTTCTGATAAAGTCATGATGTAATAGTTCAATAAATCAAATTTTAGGTTTTTACGGGGTTAGTGATCAGACTACACGTGTATTTACCGGGCTTTTGCCTGTTTTCTGACTGCCTGTAAGTCCTAATTCAGGGCAGCAGATACGTAGAGCGGTTTTTATGTATTGACCTCCACCGGCCTCCGTACTGAGCAAGCAGTTATAAAATGTCAATATAAACAAATCCCAAATCGTCCAAAAGGAAATTTTTATAAAACCCGTCAGTTTTATTTGAGGTGTCAGGATAAACGCAGGCTAATTGGAGCTGTTTTAAAAGAAATATTTGATTTTTTAATTTATTTTATATCTGCCTCTGCTGTCCGACACTTCCTGTTCAGTTTTGTAACGATGTGATAACAACTTATGCAAGTTCAGCGTGAGAATCAATTGGAGCAAAGAGCGCAGAGGTGAGCAGCTTCAATCTTTACTGATCCACTTTAACACAACATCATGTTTAATGCGTTCAGCCTGATTAAAAATAATCCGTGTCTGAGGGTGATGACTCGACAGGTAAGGACAGGTGTATAAAGCTTCATCTGGAAGCTGAGTGTAACGCATTGATGTCAGCTCACACTGAGCAATCACTGGAGGGAGATTAATGGGAAAGAAAACATTTTTTTAAACAGTTTTTATCCTGAAATGTTCGAGTCTTTGTAAATGTCCAGAAAATTATTTATTAATCGTTTATTTAAGAAATCTTTAAATGTAAATTTGAATGAAGGATTGATCAACTAACCACAGCAGCTGGTTTTTTTTAACAGAAGTAAATAATATATTTATTAGTTTACTGTTTAATTATTAGATTTTGTTTAACATTTGGGAATTTTGCTTGTTATTATTAGTATTACTGAATTTCTTTTGGCTTGTTTTTGTTGTACATGTTGAGTTCATGTTGTTTCGTTTACTGTTGTTTTCTGTTGTCCATAAGATATCTGTACACTGACTGTAAACTCTCCTCACATTAAGGTCACAGGTCATCTCCCCTCAGCCAAGATGTCTGCGATGCGGCGGTCAGTGAGCGAAGCATTCTGGGCGATGTGTGCAGCAGACTCCATGTCTATGCCGGTCCACTGGTACTATGACATCAACGACATCAGGAGGGACTTCGGTGGCTGGATATCAGGCTTCAACTCGCCTCCTGAGCGTCACCCGTCCAGTATCCTCACCCTCTCCAACACAGGTAAGAAGTCATTGGAGAGGTGCTTTTGACCTGCATTGTTTGTAATGACCAGCAGGGGGAGACTCCTGCAAGAAGTCTAACTCTATACGTCTATGAAAAAAATTGCTGAGTTTACAGTCTGAGTGTTGGTTTAAATGTAGAAGTTAAATAAAAGAATATCCTAAAAAGATGTTACATTTATAAATAAAAATGGGTTGCCAGTGAAAATGAATTTAAGGCAGATTTTTTTATTATGCTATTTTCCAATTAGCATGTTTATATTATATAACATAATCTTTATTACACTTAAGTTAATCTAAAAATATGTAGTATAGTAAAAGAAATGTAAAAATATTTTTGGTACATTTTTTACCCAGCAACTGGTCCATGTGTTTCTTATCTGCCGATGTGTATCTGATATAGTTCATTTTATCAACAAAATCAACAAAACTGTTTTTTTAAAAATATCCTGCTGCATTTGTTTTAAAAAACAAAACACTAAAGCTATTCTGTTATATGCACTACAGCCAAAACATTTCATAGTTCAGCAATACTGATCAATCTAATTTACTTAAACCTACACCATCCTCCCTATTCTCGTATTCTAAACAGTACTTAGCAGAAATATTAAACAACCTAACTAATAGGGTTCCAAACTCCTAGCAAAAATAATAGGAAACCACCCCCCACCCTCTGCCTAATGATGCTTAATCAGCGTAATCTGCTTTAATTCAATGCACGTGTAAAACAAATGCATAGAAATAAATTATTTTTCTACAATATTTAAATAGATTCAACAACTTTCTTCAACAGAAAGATGTGCAGACTGCACAGATGGTATCTTCCCAAAGGAAAAGGTACTATAGCTTAGCAGCGGTAAATTAGAGTTAATAGTTACTATATACAATAGTGGATTTCTATACATTTTACGTCGGATGAAAACTTTAATTGTAAGATTCAGATAATTATTTATTAAAAGCTAGACATGAGAATAAGAAAGAAAAGTATGTCTTTGTGCCCCCCTTTACCTGTTAATGCCCTACTTGGCCCCCTGGCAAAACTTTGCTAGACCCGCCCCTGCACAGTTACCAGCTGTCAGCTATGTAA